AAACCGGCTATTTTTGGGACGCAATAGTGGATTAACAAATTGAAAATTGGCTCAACCTGATCCATTGAAATTCACCTTAACGAGGGGTATTGGTGTCTACAAATTTTCGGTGGTAAGAAATATGTGCTTTCGAAACTTCTTTGAGAATAACGACGGGGATGAACGGTTGCCACAACAAGTTCAGTGCTGAACCGAAAAACCACTGTGAAGTCTCTTATACACACTCACAGATCTGGACGACATGAGATCCCAAAATATACCTATTGTTCTGTCAAATAAATCTGAAAGTGACAGAGATAAATCTGCTTTATGATGTACATTGCATCAGGTCATACCAATCGAACTTATGAAAACATCACAGCATCATCATCATCATCCGCAGTGCGAGAGCTTGTACAATTATTGTGATGGTTGATGTTGAGAACCGTGTCTATAGACGGACTGGTTTCGAATGAATCAAACGGTTGCACGTAGGTAAAGGGAGCAACAGGGGTTTGAGAATCTACTTATGCTATTACCGCTCTGGTCCGTTTACTCTGATCCCGATTGCCTGGCCTATGAACTGGGTTCTGTGTCTCACCCACTTTGTCCGGTAGAGGAACTTAGTTCTCGGCTTTTGCGTCAGATCGTGACCTATATGGAGCGCGCGATATATACAGTGGCACTAATTGTTATATTGTGTGTAAAGGTTGACTATTTACCATCAGAGCCTGATGAAAAGTACCCGAAAAAGCGTTTGCCAATTTCGGAATTCTCTGCCAGAACATTGAGTGTATCTTCTTAATTTAAAAGACACATAAATCAGTGGGCAGCCATTTGGCATCGAACAGGCTAAAACCTAGCGAATTACATTCATTCGAAGCTTGTGTAAAAAAGTAGAATTCACAGTTCTGATTTGGTCGTTTGGTTGTATGCTTTTATCATTTTTACTTTTATTTTTTTTTAATTTCACATGAGTGATGATGGTGTATGGTCAATGGTATACTACTTAACTTATCAATCAGTACCTTTTCCGGTTGTCTAAACGTTTATGAATGGTATACGCGTACAGCAATTCGATTGTGCATATCGTCCGGTTTTCTTCAGTCTGAACCCTGATCCAATCATGCCCAATAATTGTAGCCAGATGGAAACACGTTCCCCTTATTTTAAGAACAAAATGAAGTAATATTACCGAGCCTCATTAATCAGGATGATTAATTTTAGGCCACACTGGCGGATTGAAATGTCAAACAAGTTTGATCCAGTAGTTGGTTTGGTTGAACTCCGTAAGACAGCCTCGTGTCATTCACATTTCTTTCACTCCAGTGGCGAATAAGAGTCTTTCAAAACCTCCCCACTGCAAATGTGGTCTAATATGACATAAGCAATGAATTCCAACAAAGTAAACAATACAAAAAAATCATTTGTAAACGAAAGTATGCGATTAGTTTCACCAGGAAAAAGGAAACCGATGAGTTAATTTAGACTATGTTCATTCTTTTGAATAAAACAAGTAACATACAATATGAATAGAATTGATATTGGCCATCAATTTCACGTGCTCTTAATCATCTGTCTACGTACATTAAATAGGTCAAATTTTATGATAAGAATACCATAGATGGACATTTACACAATTACATGGGGTCAAGCAGAGGGCACTGGGTGATTGATTCATTACCGAAGTCATTTGGATATAGGTGAAAGAGGAGAAGGAGGGGTATGTCAGCATAGGAACAGTTACGTAATGGAAAGCGGTTAGCTGTGGTGGAAAGAGAGTTAGACATTGTGAATGTTAATGTTATAGTGTTAATAACACAGTGATGTCGGTAGAGAATTATATTTGCCGAAGGTTCGGTTACCGTGGGTAACCTTTCTCAAGGCAGGTTTTACAAGAGTTAGACATGGTTGCGTAATACGAAAAAGATACAACCGGAAATGAATTCGAATAGACGTAGAAAGTTAACCGAGTAAAAAATTGGTCAATTAAGTAGGCCAAAGTGAGTTACTTAGTACGAAAAGGCGAAGGGTGAAGTGTCAACGATGATGTAAGAGAACGATTGAGATGATGGGAAGGAAAGGGGAGAGGAATTACCATGCCAACTGCATAACAAAGGCCTTTGCACGCGTAGGTCAGGCTTTAAACGGCTAATGACAACCGCTTCAGCGAACATAAGCATTCTTGGGCTTCGAACTTGGAGCACAATGTGGAAAGCTTTGCGTTTGTCGATGCAGGGTCCGGTATCCAGAAAATGTCGTGCCACTTCGCTTGCTGGAAGTTTTCCTCCTCGAAGTGATAGGTTGTGCGGAACATACTCACTCATTCTGGTCGACAGCAGGCGAACCGCAAGTACATTGAAAAAGATAAATACAATTGGAGGTGACCGAATCATTGGATCTGTCTATGTTTGACCGCATTAACGAGTTCATTTTTCTGTGAATCATGACCAGCTTCGCGGTAGAATAGGTGGACTCGATTGTAGTACGAAGCCGACTACCAACCCGAGGAATTATATCGTCTTCTTAAATGGTACACCAATGAAAACTGGTCATTCTGTTTATTGTCATATGCACCCTACAAAACCCCGACAACCTGGATTTTCATCGAACGTCCATCCATGTTGGACCGATGTTTGTAAAACGGGTCGCTATTTTTTCTTCTCTACTCTTCGTCGAATGCTGCTTTGCATTGCAAATCGTTTGGCAACGTTAAATCAGTTATGTCCTTGTGCCAGGAGATGGTGGGGCCGGTTTTCTCCTCGGATAGCAGATTGTTTGATCTGATGTAAGCAAACCACATTCCACTACCACCAAGCGAAGGTCCAGGCAATTTGTAAGCTTTTCCCAATAGTTTAAATGCTGATACAGTCATGGTCGGATATGCTTTGTACGATCAAATGGTAAAATTTTACTACAGAAATGGGTCAGTTCACCTGCCGAATGTATTGAAACTGGGGAACTACTAGAAGAAGTGGAGAAATTTTGGAGTTTTGTGTAATAATATTCAACGTGACGGGAGCATCACGAACGAATTGTCGAAAGGCAAACAGAAGGCTCAGTTGGCAGTTGCCAACAGGAGGCAGATCTGGTGTCGTCTCGAAATCCGGATGTCTGTGAAGGGATTTAGGGTATGCTACAACAGTACGTTTGGTGCTGATTAATAGTGCAAAGGATTAGCTATTACAAAAACAATATAAAGATGGAGCTCTGTAGTTCATACACAACTGTCTATGAACGACTATGGTGTGCGACGTTAGCCGAGGAAGGTAGTTAGTAGAAAAAACCAAAAATGATTAAATTAACACCTGGCCTGAGGAAATGGTATTCCTGACCAGGGGAATCGGTCGAATAATTTGCCCCGTGCTTTCTGTTTGAGGACCGTGAGATCAGAGTGGCCACTGGTTTGACACACTTAACGAACTATCTACCTGTTGAAAACAGTAACGATCGTGCATTTACTCAATCTCTTTAAAATCTTAATCACTCACAATTATCTATCACTTTTTACTTTGACACTGCCTTCAACATACAACTCTTCCCTCTTCTAATTTATCCAAATTTTAATTCAAAGAATTTAAAATGAGAAATCAGCTTGAGCGTGCAAGATACTCAGTAGAGTATGAATTTACCAAAATGGTTTTCTGTGGGGGTTATGAGATATTGATCTATAAATTTCTTATATCGATCTCATACACTCACTAAGTTTGCCTATTCTCGTTATCAAGTACATGTGCGTTCTCATCTTCACAGTTTGACAGTATTGTAATTCTCTCCCCGCGGTGAGTGATCAGTCATATTGATATTCACTTTTTAGCTACTCTATTTATGGTCATTTCATTATATGTTATGTAAAAAGTTGTGGTATCTAAATGACTAGGTAAAATTCCCCTGGTGGTGGTTTACCACTCAGTTGTACACGTCCGGTAATCTCGCTGTTCATCATTCATGTACTTTAATCCGGGCCGTATATTTTATTTTCCAAATTTCCAAACTGTGCCACGGGGCGCGGATTTTGTGGACACGTTATTCCTAAACAGCCCATTTTTGAGTCAATAATACGATTCGGTTTTAATTCTGTCCTTTACATATTACTAATTGCAAAAAAATTGGATGAGTGTTGTTTTTCGAAGATGATTTAGTAGAAGAAAGAAAATATTAAACCCGGGTACAGGAGGTATATGACCGGATAAGAAGATGTCAGATAAGCATACTTAACCATTACCCACAAACCGATCATGTGCCCACAGGGATTCTTTCAGATACCACTTATGTATGCACATATCTGCCAGTGAAACCAGCTTCCACTGTTACATATGCTTGCTGCAATAAACCCAAATTAGTGTTGGTTACCGATGCCCGAGTGTGGGTCCATGGGCTAGCTATACACGCTGACTTTCTGATCCCACTTGACAGTGTTTGTTTTCAGGTTCCTGGATTACGTTTCCGTCTTGTTCAAGACACGTCACAGTCTGATTGTCCAATGCGAAACAACGATCGCTCGCTTTTTATTATCCAGCTACACTACTCACCAATAGCTGAATACGGATAGTATGTCCACTGGGATTGTGAACGATAAACACGTGTGAGAATAGAACAATAACCTGATTGGTTTTTGTTCATTTTACCGCTTGCTGTACACAAAAAGTTGAATAGCCGGCAAACCCGGAAAGGACTGAATAGCTTTTATTCGAAAATTTTTAGCATTTTACAAAACAGTTAGCCTCAGCCACACTTGTACAACAAAATTGCCAAATCCTCCATGCGGAAGTAGATAAAGTTTGAAGCTTCATGAGTAACATAACTAAATATGAAGTTATTGAAGAGAGGAAAGGGAAATAAATTTAAACAATTGTTCCATTATATAAGCTTCAGCAATAAATAAAACCACTTCAATAAGTACCACGTTTTATTTCCAGTGCAACTACTAAATGGAAATTTCGAGACTAGTCAACAACAAGATAAGAAATATTTTACACACAACCTAAGTGATGAAATGTCATAAGAGAAAACAATCACACTTACGCTACAAACTTTTGCCCGGCTACACAATGCCATATACCGCCGTACTTGCGCTCGAATCCACGCTTAATGTAACAAGCAATGTCATAATTTTTTTCGAATCGGTCCAAAGCTTCTGCAGTGAATAGCAAAGCATCAGTTTGTCCATCTTCAGATAAATCCACATTTTTTATCAGGGCCTGACGTGGAGTAAGAGAATCTGTGAGAACCGGTTTTGATTCCATTTCCCACGAGAGGTTATTCAAACCCCTAAGTACTGGACTTGATACCGTGGAATTTCGACTAATATTGTATTGCTAATCACGTTCTACAAAACAAAAGAATTGGTGAGAAACATGTAGCGGTGCCCAGAAAATTTGATACGCTAGCTTACAGAATCCGATCATGTGACCGGTGTGTGAGATCGGTATCGAAATGAACGTAAATTGTACATGTGCGCGCCATGTATAGCAGAAATAAAGATAGCGGGTCGAATTGTGTAACTAGGTTATCAGAATATTAAAACAACAGCGTTTGATCAATCATTAAAGTGGTATAACAAATAGATACTCCTGTTAGCAGAGACCTTGTTTGAAAATTCAGTATAAAAGAGGGATTTGTAACTAAGTATTTAGTGAGTTATGTCACATAGTACCCATCCCTTTCCAATATAGGTCGTGGTCAGTTCAGTGACTCTGATGTTTTCTCCTGAAGTCCTAATCCTTTTGACATTCTGTCCAAGAATACGGATCACTCTGTTACGCTTGTGAGGTTCTTTCTGGGTGTATTTGTTATGCCTGCCTTCTTTTGTGTTAGTCCTCTATGAATAACAAATCAATAATTGCACCATACCTCATCGAGACCAGTGAATATTGATTAGATCGTTTACCCCAGACAACCGAGCTGTCCAGTACCAATAAAGAAAGATAAAGATCATATAATCAAAGAAGGGACCATGAGGATTAGGTGAATACTACCAAGCCATAAATGATTGGAGAATGTTGATAGGGTCCTATCTCGGATAAGGTAGTTTGTATCACAGTTTATGTGATCATTAATAAGTAGAAGTTAGAAATAAAAGAATAGTAAGCGGAGAAATATTGCAATCTGTCTCTCCGCCCATGATCCTGTTCTAATGCTCACATGAAATACAGTACGTAAGCATACAAATGCAGCACAATGATTCGGAATGTATTGTGCAAAATCTTCTTTGTTTGTTTTTTTTCTCTTTCGTTTCTCTATTCTAATTCCTTACGGAGAAACCATAAGATAATACGTAGACTGTCTATACCGCTTCAATACACACAAACCCAGAGACTTCATATCAATCTATATTCTTAGACGTTTTTATTCAGATAATGTAAACCCCTTATCCTTTCATCACATAGAGATGTTCAACACTCCTCTTCGAGTTCCATTCCAAACTCCGGGGTAGTTTTACCGTTGGGAACATGGTTAATTTCATAATTGTGAATTAGTAATCTGAAACAAAATCCTATAAATCAATCAATGTTATTCTAAAAACTGAACTATACTTCTCAACATGCTTTTCGTTTACTGACATCATTTTTTTCATTTTTCTACTAAATTTCCTAATTGTTATTGATGATTCCGTTTTTTTTATTGATTCTGACGTTAGCTGTATTGACAAACAGTACGATTTTGTCAGTAAACAGAGTCAAGATTGTTCCATATAATGCCATAGATTTACCACATTCATCAATGCACACATCGAAACAAGTATGGTCTGTAAGGTCAAAACTGTGGGAGATGAGCTTAAAGTTATTCATTTCTAAAGATTTTCACACATGGAGCGAAAGCTAGTAATAAAAACGTCAGAAATAAACCGCATCCAACAAATACGTAACGTTTTGATAAAATCACTCAGTCGCTTATCGATCTTGTAAATGTTAAAGGGGAATATTAGTGGATTCGGTTAGACAAGACATGTAGACTAGAGTACATTGTTCTATACACATCAGTATAAATTTTGACGGCACTGATAACATTGAATCAACACAATCCTAACTTGATAATTGGCAAGTACAGTTCATCACGTGATAAATTGAGCTTCGGTTTTTAGTTCTTTTGTGCTATCTTTGTATTCCTCTTTTGTTTTCGTTAGTAATCTTTTGGCTCCACCCCTAAAGATTATGTTTTTGTGAGACAACTCTCACTCGTTCGGAATAAGATGCTTTCACTGAAATACATACTCAAGTGCCCAAGGTGTATGCTCACTTCTCCGGATCCCAATTTCGTATGGACTGCGTTGCCCTTACCTTGAAAATCTGCATCTAGAGTGACCTATTTCAAGTTTGTGGGTGTCGCCGTCCACAGTTATCTTCGATTGCCTGCATACATTCACAATTTTGTGGGGTAACTGAGACACCAATGCGTTCAGCTACACAAAATTAGGCAACTGCGAAACCCTTAGTCAGTCTTGTCCTGTTTCACCAATTCACCAATACGTTTTCTTTCGGTTCTCCTCCTTTGGTGTTGTTTTTTTCTGCCTTTTAAAACGAAACTTCAAAACCGTTTCTTATGGTTTGGTAATAATCAATAATCAAGTATCCTTGTTTTAAGTTGATTCGTTAATTACCGCACTGAATAATGATTACATCAACCTTTGTATCGAATTCATCAATACGATTCTAGAACACTCTCTGCTTCAATTGTTCTTTGCAGTTTCCATACATCCACACACATACTCCTTCTTTTCGGCATCTACCGTCTCGTTTCAGCAAAAATACAAATACCCCTACAGAATAAACGGTCTCACTCCTAGTCGACAAAAAAAAAGCTCCCGAATGAGTTACATCAGAATTTGTTTACATGAACTAACCTGTAGCGACATTTTTCACATTGGATATTCTTTTTTCGGTCTGGGTGACCATTGTATATCTTTTACTATAGTGTAAGCATTTTCGTTTGTACTAGTTACACAAATACAAAATGCGACCCTGCACATAGCTTATAATGTGGAAAAGATTTGGTTATGCGTAGATGAAGAGACAAAGAAGGACAGACTTCAGAGGAGCGCGAATCGTAGCAAACGAATTCACCAGACTGTGGGAGTAGTGAATGTGGCTAATCGAGAAAGAGTGTTTCATATCAGGTCAGTGGGATATTACTGCTGTTACAGAAACGTGGCTTCCAGTTGACGTTCTAGAAACAACCAAAGACGTTTCTGCTCAGATGCGATCATCCTACCCGTGGTGTTGGTGTTCTACTCCATTATCGAAAAAACCTTGATTGCGAGTAAATCCACCCCCAGTTTCGACTCCTGACACTCTGTCGTGTAGACTGAGACTGTCCAAACACGGTGACTGCTTGATTGGTGTCATCTATCGCCCTCCGTCAGCCACGAAATCAGCCAATATGACCCTTTTGAACACTATGCTACACATTCTCGCAAAAAGATTCACACATGTTCTGCTAATGGGTGATTTCAATTGTCTCAACCTCGACAACCATTGACCTCCCATCACTTATTCGAACAGCAATTCATAAAGCTGATTACCTCACAACCACTGTACAACCACGTGAAAGAGCATACCAGATTCGGAAACTTGCAATCACCATCCATCCTGGATTTAATGTTGACGAACGAAGAGTTGGCGATAG